CAGTTTCATATAATGGTGTGGGAGACTTGGTTCCCATAGACGGATCCATGAATCAGAACCGATAATTAGAAACTTTAAACAATTATGCATTTCCCTCCGGCGACAGATTAATAGGAAAATAATTTATTCTCCAACAGGACAACGCTCCTTGCCATAAGGCTAGAATGATTACTAGGTTTTTAAGAGATGTCGGGGTGGAAACTCTCGATTGGCCGCCACAAAGTCCTGATTTAAACATTATTGAAAATGTGTGGTCGCTAATAAAGCGAGAAAGAAGCACTGATCTGACCAGGACAAAAGCAGAAACCGTCACTGAGGTTACAATGAATTGGAAAGAGGTTCCCTTAAAATACCTTCAAACCTTGGTCGATTCCGTTCCGAATCGCCTGCAAAAGGTCATAGACACCAAAGGAGGGTATATTTTTTATTAATTTCCAGTTTCAAATAAATTTATAAAACAAATTAGTTAATTAAGATGAAAAAAGAAATTTTGTCAAAATACTTATGCCACCCATGAAATGACTTAGTTTTTAGTTTTAATTCAATTAAAAATCTAAATGAATGTTAAAAATGAAAATTTGTTATATTTATAATTTAATACAATGTAACTAAATGAATTATGTACAATCCATACATTTTTTTATATTTAAAATAAAAAAAAATTTAAACAGAAACTGAGGCATCGCCATGACAAAATATATATGCCGACCAGTGTAGATTCTTTTTACCTATGCCAAACATATACTCATATTCCAAAACATCTAATACGTGATAACGCGAATATGATTATAATGTTTAAACAAGATGATTTAAATATGCGTCATATATATCGTGATCATGTAAATACTGATATGTCCTATGATTCATTTATGAAAATTTGTCAAAAGTGTTGGAGTGATAAATACGGATTCCTCATAATAAGTAAAGATAACGATATGGAAAAGGGAAGATACAGGAAGGGTTTTAATGAATTTATAATTATTTGAGAATATAAGTTTCATTCTGTAAGCTATATTTTCACAGTACATTATTAGACCCCAAAATGAGTAGATCATTCACTCTTACATTAAATGGCAATGAACCCATTACAAACATTTCTTATTTCCCACCCATTGAACTGACAAATGGTGAATATGAGTGTGCACTCATTGACTTTCATATGTACAATTCTATACCCAATGTTGATAAAAATAATAATCTATTTCATATTGGTGATAAAGTAATTCAACTTCCAATCGGGTCATATGAACTCAATGATATTTATGATTTTCTAAAAAATAAACTAAAAGATTATGATCTTGAGAAAACATTTCAAATGGAGAGTAATAATAACACACTTCAAGTTCATATTACAACTACCAAGGAACCTATTTATTTTAATAGAAACAACTCCATTGGACAATTGCTTGGTTTCAATAAAAAAATAATTTACCCCGACTTGAAAAAAACATATATATCTGATCAACCTGTCAACATTTTAAAAATAAACACAATACGCTTAGTATGTAATATTGTAAGCGGCTCATATATTGATAGTAGACAAGATCATTCATTATACGAATTTGGAATTAATGTTCCACCAGGCTATAAAATGAATATCACACCACACAATCTTATTTACTTACCAGTCAACACTAGAGAAATAAGTACACTCTCTATTCACATAACTGATCAGAACGGTGAATTAATAAATTTACGCGGTGAAAACTATACAATTCGTTTACACTTAAGATTAATACAATGATTATATACAATAAAAGAGGTGATACCTACCATCATCAGCTCACTTTAAAACATAAAGTTATGGGAAGAGGATCGAAACCAAAAAGACACACACTTACATTAAAAAATAAGTTAATTCTTAAATCATTGGGCTTCAAAGTGCGAGTTTAACTAAAGTCATGGGGTTGAATGAAATATTGGCAGTACGGGAAAAACCTTTCTCTGATGAAAGTATATCAAAGAAGGAATATCACAGCTATCAACCCTATTTACAATCATTTAAACCAAATGATGAGATAAGAATTACAATCCAAAATCAAGATTTATATGTACTCCCCCATGAGAGTCTTCTAAATTTTCAAGGAGATATTACCCTAATTAAGGAAGGGGGAGCGGTAGAAACTCAAAATGTTATTGCGAGAATGAGAAATAATTGTATGGCATACTTTTTAGATGAAATACGCTATGAAATCAATGGTGTTGAAATAGATAGAACAAGATTTAGTGATATTACTTCTACAATAAAAAACTTTGTTTCTTTAAATCAATTTGAAAGCAAGAGACTTTACAATTCTGGATGGAGTGGAGGACCCGTTTTCAATTTAACCCCCCACTTCAACTTTTCAATACCCCTTAAAAACCTACTTGGATTTGCTGAAGATTTCAAAAAGTATTATTAAATTGTAAACATGAACTAGTACTATTAATATCAAAAAATTTTAATGATGTACTTGAGCAAGATAAATTTGAGAATGCACAATTAGTCGGAAAATATCATCTCAATATGACTAATATTACATGGAAAATTCCTCATATAACACCCAGCGATTCAACGAAAATTAAAATGTATGATATTATAAAATGTATGATATCACAAAATTTATTGGAATGATGGAGTATACTTTTTCAAAGAAACACAAATGTATTTAAGAGAAATAATTAGAAAACAGGAAATAATTTGTAAGGGATATCAAAAAAGGTTATTCCTACAAAAATTTTTAAAAATTGATAATGTAATTAACATTGATGAAATTGGTTGTCCCTCTCTAAAAATAATGGATGGAAAGCACTTTCCATATTGTTCATTACATGCTCGGGATGGTGTCTGCTCTCTGAACAATGCTCATAAAATCTTAAACTTTTACACAAACGAAAACTCCTAAACACCTTTTAAACAATTCATTCACATTTTGAGAGTCGGGAAAATAAGTTTACGAAATGACTGATTCTAATAACAATCTTAATATACCGACTTATTCATCTTTAATAAATAAAATTAATTTTTTTATTAATACATTTGGAAATATGATTTCAAAAGAGGACTTGAAATTACTACTGGAGACAAGGAACATGTTCATGGGTACTGACGTAAAGGAGTTTATAAAAACAACATTTGGAGAACATTTAAATTTATGTACATTTTCTAATGATAATATAGAAACTTGTGCTTGTTTCATTTTGTAATTCAACAATATAGAGTTAGAAAATTAATTTCATCATATATTGAAATTATTAAATAAAGAGAAAACCAAAAAAAAAGTTTTCTATTGTTTGAATTTGTTTTCGAGGGTGGGTCTATCATCAGCTGTTGCATTTTTTAACATCTGTTTTCTAAGTATAATACAACGAGTTATCTCTACCAAACTTTAGTTTAAGATAAACATTCAGACTATTACGTTGAAAGAAAAAATGATTTCCTCATAAATTGAAGAGTTCTTAAGGGAGCATGGAAGTGAGATCTTCAAGGAACATGCTACGAAATTGAAATCATTTCATACATTTTTTAAAGATGTAGAAGCCACCCCACTAATTCATTCGAAGTATGGAGAACACCTATCATCCTGTGCATGGGCATATGATGATTGTAAAGTTGGACCTGACACTTGCAGGTGTATGCATGTTGAAAAGAGAGAAGAAGACGCCTTAAAATTGATGGAAACATACATTCATTTATTTCAAAGACTCAATGTAAACTAATTTAAGACGAATATAGTAATAAAAACGTATTTGACAAACAAACGATCTCATTTGTTTTTGTGTATAAATGTGTATATTCTGTTAGGAACCACCACCACAAGCACCGCCACCACCACCATCCCTCTTACACTCCTACGCTCACTTTCCCATCTAATGCTCGCTAAAGAGGGGGAGGTTATCGAACTCACGCTTGTTTCACACCACAAAAGTATGCGGTCTAATATCCCTCAAACCAACACCTTTTTGACCACAAGACCGTAGACAGATGTCACCTACAACCCTAATTGAATCAACAAAACGCCCACGCATAACAAAACAACTTCCCTTCCTCCTCCTCCTCCGCCTAAATATAGTTTTACAAATTCATACGCATGACAAAACACCCCTTGTAAAACGAATAGTTTTCTAAAACTGAACTACTTTCCACATTTCTCCTTAACACATACATTTTTTGAAAACTTAGAAGGTAACCGTTTTCTCTCTCATGTAAGCGCATGAGAAAAAAATTTCAAATATGATTAAAGAAAAACGTATTTGACTAAACAAACGATCTCATTTGGTTTTGTTCTGTTAGGAACCACCACCACCACAGTCACCATATTGACCACAAGACCGTAGGCAGGTTACACTAACAGGTGTCACCTACAACCCTAATTGAATCTACCCTATTAAAACTATCACTAATTGAATCAACAAAACGCCCACGCATAGAAAAACAACGTTTTTGTTAGAAACCACCAACGCCCCTCTTACACTCCTACGCTCACTTTCCCATCTAATGCTCGCTAAAGAGGGGGAGGTTACCGAACTCACGCTTGTTTCACACCACAAAAGTATGCGGTCTAATGTCCCTCAAACCAACACCTTTTGACCACAAGACCGTAGCCAGGTGTCACCTACAACCCTAATTGACTCAACAAAACGCCCACGCATAACGCGTTCTAACCCAAGTTAGAAGCAACATAGTCACCTGTGTGCAACCATTGCACTCCACAAAATCCCACGCATGACAAAACACCCCTATCACACACGCACCTTTAGCGTGAGAAAAAGACAAGACAAAACAAGACATATCAAAACACCACTCTCTCACACTCCTACACACCACTTTCTAACCTCATTAAGTGACCTGTGTGCAACCATGCTCATCTAACTAGGGTCAGCAACACCCCCCTTTTTGACTTAATTATGCTAATTAGGTCATTAGAACACCTGTGTGCAACCATGCGTGACTAATTAGGGTCACCCCCACCTCCTTTTTTGACATGATTTATTACCTAGTGAGCCAGCTCCCGTATTAACTACCTACTCATATTGTGACTGATGTCCTTCTGCCTGCGCATATATAGTGGTTTAGGGCGATGTTTCTTCTCGCTTTCCCGGAAGTTTTCGAGTATGTCCATCTGGTACTGGACCACTTCGAAGAACCTCTGGCGATCGTTACGCGGCGGCAGCTCCTTGAGTTGTCCACCTGGCGTGGCACCCGTTCCAATGACACTGCTATCATTTGTCTGGATGACACCGAGAATGGAGCGGTCCACGGACATGGGCGAAAGGACGTCGGTCACGGACATAGGCGTGGTGTTCAGATCGTACTCCACACACTCCTTTTGCCCCGCATCGAACTTGACGGCATATTGATTTTCTTTATCGGCTAGAGATGCCAGGGACTTGCCAGGTGGCGCCACCTGGGTGTCGCAGTTATCCTCGTATACGGAGAAGGTCTTGAACTGCTCCACCACCGGTACCACATTCGACTTCTTGGTGGCAAACTCAACATTTTCAACGTCGATATTGTGGTTTCTTACGTCACGGAAGACTTGCACTTTCCCGGACGGACGCGTTACATTGTTGTTGCCATTGAACACGGCGAAATTCGCCCGCGGCGCAAGCGCATTTTTCTCCGACTTCCCGATTACGGCCAGCGGCTGCTTGGCGTTCTTCACTCCGGCCGGAATCTTGATGCCCGGATTCTCCTTGTTGCTCATGTCCTGGTGGATCTGGAAACTGGCCATCGCGTGCTCCTTTTTATCACTTTCTTCGTCTGTTGTAAAATGGAGGCTTGTTCTGCTCTTCTCTTTGTTCCTCTCTTTCGCTAAGCGTCGCTGTTGTTGTTGTTTTGCGCTGCTTTCTTATGCTCGATGCTCACACCGACACGAACACGCGCAATTAAATAAAATAATATTCTTCCGTTAAAAGAATTTATTATAAAAAATATTTTGATGAAAAAAATAGCGAAAACACAGATTCGTTATTTGTGGAAAATAGTGAAAAAAGCTTGGGAATTCAAAATCTTGAGAATGACGACGAAGTAAATACCGTCAATAAAAATACCAATATCTTGGGAATTCAAAATCCTGAGAGTGCCGACGAAGTCAATACCGTCAATAAAAATATAAATATCTTGGGAATTCAAAATCCTGAGAGTGCCGACGAAGTAAATACCGTCAATAAAAATATAAATATCTTGGGAATTCAAAGTCCTGAGAGTGCCGACGAAGTAATTACCGTCAAAAATCGAATAAATAAAAATCGTTTGAAATGTAAAAATTTCAAGCCCGCCGTCGTTGAGTTATCCGACAAACAACAGATAAACAATATAGGTACTGATCAATTAGACGGACTAAAGGAAAAAATAGTTTTCTATATTGAAAAAGAGCATTCAAAGATAAATATGCAAATTCCTTTTCGAACAGACATAAAGGGGGAAATAAATCTTATTCACGATAGGCCAATATACGGGAAACAATATCCGTACGCTTTTTCTGTCACCAACTTCGTGAATAGCGAAATCAGTAGAATGTTAGCAGAAGAAATTATAAGGCCTAGTCGAAGCCTTTATAATTCACCAGTTCTGGTAGTCCCAAAGAAAGGAGAAAATCAAGACGGAAGCCGTAAATTGAGACTCGTCATTGACTATAAAAAATTAAATGAAAGTACCATACCTGACAGGTACCCAATGCAAGACCCATCAGTAATTCTATCTAATTTGGGAAAAGCAAGATATTTTTCAACAATAGATTTAGAATCAGGTTTTCATCAGATATTAATGAAAGAATCTGATGTAGAAAAAACATCCTTTTCGATAAATAATGGAAAATACGAATTTTTAAGAATGCCATTCGTAATAACAAATGCACCAAGAATTTTTCAGAGAGCAATGGACGACATCCAAAGAGAACAAATAGGGAAAACATGTCATGTCTACATGGACGACATTATAATATTCTCAAACTCGATTGAACAACATTATAAAGACTTAAACAAAATTATAAATATATTATAAAAGACAAACATGAAAATCTCTTTAGAAAAATCAAAGTTTTTAAAACGCGAAACCAGTTTTTTAGGATACATCGTATCTTATAACGTCATCTAGACAGACCCAGAAAAAATTGACACCATTATTAAATATCCGCTTCCAAAAAATATTCGAGAACTAAGAAGGTTCTTAGGCCTTACGGGCTATTATAGAAAATTTGTTTTAAATTACGCCTCTATAGCCAAACCTCTAACAAAATGTCTTGGAGATCATAATGGCAAAATTTCAAAAATAATGTCAACAAAAATGTTAATTCAGCTGGATGACCCAGCTATTAAAGATTTTAACGAGCTAAAAGAAAATCTCATTGCTCAAGTAGAATTAGTTCAACCGGATTATAATAAAAAATTTACCCTGACCACCGACGCCTCGGACGTCGCAATTGGTACAGTATTATCTCAAGAAGGTAAACCAATTACTTTTATTTCAAAAACCTTGACTAAAACGGAAAAGTTTATGCAACTAATAAGAAGGAACTTTTTTTTTTTTTTTTTTATAAATCTAAGAAACTACTTATACGGAGTGATTGGAATGGAAATCCAAACCGATCATCAACCATTATCTTTCGCAATCTCTGAAAAAAATCCTAATATTGAAATGAAACGCTGGTACTCCTTCATAGAAAGTTTCACTCCAAAAGTCATTTATAAGCCAGGTACAACTAATGTAGGTGCAGACGCCTTATCAAGAATTCAGATCAACAACTTAACTGACAGTAACGAATCGGTCTCAGATCAAAACACTCAGCATTCAGCAGAGAGTAGTTTTGAGAATGTTATACAAGAAACCCGTAAGCCCTTAAACCAGTTTAAGCAACAATTGCTATTAGCAACGGGGAGATATACAATACATGAGTCAATTAATATATTCGAAAACACCAGACATATAATAGAATTTTACACTCCCGAACATTTGATATCAATCTTAAGAGAATATATTCCTCCTTATTTAACGGTAGGTATTCATTGTACTTTAGAGGACTTTTATAGAATTAAAAAACCACTTAAAAATAATTTTGTGAATAAATTTTTGTATACAAAAATATTTGTCCAAGATGTAGAAACTTCTGAGGACAGAGCCCTTATAATCGAAGAAACACATTGCAGAGCACACAGGTGACTTGACGAAAATTAAAAAGAAATCACTAGATTGTATTATTGGCCAAACTTACTTACAAAATTAAAAGAATATATAAAAAATTGTAAAATTTGCAATGAAAACAAATATAACAGACACCCAATTAAAATTCCAATTGGAGAAGCCTCAATCCCGAATAAAGAAGCCGAAAATTTACACATCGACATATATTAGGCGCAGTCTTACTTTCAAAACTTGTATTAACGCTTACTCAAAATTTTTAGTAGTAAAAGAAACCAAAATAAATTAAATATCGAAAACAAAGAAATGGAACTTCTTCAACAATTTCCACAAGCCAAAGTAATAATGACCGATAATGAACCAAGCTTTACCTCGGCCCAATTTAAATCTTTTGCACAAAGGTGCGGTTTAACTTTACATTACGCAGACCCGAGGCACAGTACCTCAAACGGACAAGGTAAAAAGGCACATTCTACATTAACAGAATTAGCACGATGCATTAAAGAAGAATTTAATTTAACCGACTATTCCGAAATAGTAATAAGAGCCGCTCAAGAATATAATCAGAGCATTCATTCTACAACGAACCAAAAACCTTTTGACGTACTATATAATAAAATAGAGCACGATAACATTCCTCAAATTTTAAAAAATGCACAATAGAAAATGTTAGAAACACATAATGAAAACAGAAAAGAAAAGTATATCATGTAGGACAGGTTGTTTATGAAAGGAAACACGGGGAAAAAAATAAACTTAAAACAAGATATAAAAAACAAGTAGTTAAAGAAAATGTACCTAACAAAATAATAATCAACAATAGAAATAGAATTATTCACAAAGATAATATAAAATTCTAAAAATTTGTGTTATTTTTTTTTTACCTTTTCCAGAAAATGTTTTATCAGGTGCTCTGCTCTTCTCTTTGTTCCTCTCTTTCGCTAAGCGTCGCTGTTGTTGTTGTTTTGCGCTGCTTTCTTATGCTCGATGCTCACACCGACACGAACACGCGCAATTAAATAAAATAATATTCTTCCGTTAAAAGAATTTATTATAAAAAAATATTTTGATGAAAAAAATAGCGAAAACACAGATTCGTTATTTGTGGAAAATAGTGAAAAAAGCTTGGGAATTCAAAATCTTGAGAATGACGACGAAGTAAATACCGTCAATAAAAATACCAATATCTTGGGAATTCAAAATCCTGAGAGTGCCGACGAAGTCAATACCGTCAATAAAAATATAAATATCTTGGGAATTCAAAATCCTGAGAGTGCCGACGAAGTAAATACCGTCAATAAAAATATAAATATCTTGGGAATTCAAAGTCCTGAGAGTGCCGACGAAGTAATTACCGTCAAAAATCGAATAAATAAAAATCGTTTGAAATGTAAAAATTTCAAGCCCGCCGTCGTTGAGTTATCCGACAAACAACAGATAAACAATATAGGTACTGATCAATTAGACGGACTAAAGGAAAAAATAGTTTTCTATATTGAAAAAGAGCATTCAAAGATAAATATGCAAATTCCTTTTCGAACAGACATAAAGGGGGAAATAAATCTTATTCACGATAGGCCAATATACGGGAAACAATATCCGTACGCTTTTTCTGTCACCAACTTCGTGAATAGCGAAATCAGTAGAATGTTAGCAGAAGAAATTATAAGGCCTAGTCGAAGCCTTTATAATTCACCAGTTCTGGTAGTCCCAAAGAAAGGAGAAAATCAAGACGGAAGCCGTAAATTGAGACTCGTCATTGACTATAAAAAATTAAATGAAAGTACCATACCTGACAGGTACCCAATGCAAGACCCATCAGTAATTCTATCTAATTTGGGAAAAGCAAGATATTTTTCAACAATAGATTTAGAATCAGGTTTTCATCAGATATTAATGAAAGAATCTGATGTAGAAAAAACATCCTTTTCGATAAATAATGGAAAATACGAATTTTTAAGAATGCCATTCGTAATAACAAATGCACCAAGAATTTTTCAGAGAGCAATGGACGACATCCAAAGAGAACAAATAGGGAAAACATGTCATGTCTACATGGACGACATTATAATATTCTCAAACTCGATTGAACAACATTATAAAGACTTAAACAAAATTATAAATATATTATAAAAGACAAACATGAAAATCTCTTTAGAAAAATCAAAGTTTTTAAAACGCGAAACCAGTTTTTTAGGATACATCGTATCTTATAACGTCATCTAGACAGACCCAGAAAAAATTGACACCATTATTAAATATCCGCTTCCAAAAAATATTCGAGAACTAAGAAGGTTCTTAGGCCTTACGGGCTATTATAGAAAATTTGTTTTAAATTACGCCTCTATAGCCAAACCTCTAACAAAATGTCTTGGAGATCATAATGGCAAAATTTCAAAAATAATGTCAACAAAAATGTTAATTCAGCTGGATGACCCAGCTATTAAAGATTTTAACGAGCTAAAAGAAAATCTCATTGCTCAAGTAGAATTAGTTCAACCGGATTATAATAAAAAATTTACCCTGACCACCGACGCCTCGGACGTCGCAATTGGTACAGTATTATCTCAAGAAGGTAAACCAATTACTTTTATT